GCTTGTGGCTGCTGTATAACTATGCACAGCCGCCACGCCGTTAGGGCCGATGTCCTCTGCCAGCTTGAGGCCTGTCAGCGGCTGCATATCCATTACGAGGATGGTTTTGCTGCTGCGCCACATCCATTTGCTTTGTGCTGCTGCACCAGCGTGCCACCCGGTGATTGCACACCTGCTCCAGCGCCATAATACCGGCCGCCGCCACCAGGGAATCCGTAAGAGTTGACTTGCCTGCGAATCATATGCAATGCATGGTGAGCTAAGAACCTAAGATGCCGTGCTTTGCCTCTGCATCACCACCACGAAACGACCCCGACACCCCGGCCTGTGGCCAGACAACGCACCATGGTCCACGTGAGCGATAACACTCATGTTACGGATGTTGAACTTGTTGTTCATGAGGGCACGGATGTCCTCAATCTGCGTGGAGCGGCCGGGAAGCAACGATCAGGTGTCTGCATGAAAAGACACCCCTCCCTTGGCCCTACCTCGCCATCTGAGAAAAGCTTCTCACCGTAAACTTGACCTGCGAGCAGAGAGAGGGGGAAAGGGGGGACGGCAGATCAGCTAGGAGGCGGCGTAGACAGCCAGCGCACCGCCCCGGTTTATGCCCCGTGCGTTTTATGTATTAGATGAGGTCTGTCATTAATCAAGACATATTCTCTGACAACGCCCACCATGGTGCCCGCAGCTGACGGTGGGCCTCGCCCACAGACAGTCCCGGAGAGGAAGGGTTATGGCACTCAAAGGAGCCCAAAAATGTGTTCGGAACTACACAACAATACAACAAGACAGCGTGAGGTAGGCGCGGCGACAGCCATAAGCGGAAGCGTGCAGCATCAGCAGGAAGCACAAAAGGAAGGTGGCGAGGTACTGCACCCCGCCAGCAGCAGCCGAAGCGCTTGCTCGATGGCGACCAAAGTCGGAACAGCCGGCTGCCGGCTGCATGATTAATGCAACTTGTCGTGCGCGCACGGATTTGCCCAGGTCGCCCTGACCTTGCGCACGGGGTGACATCACCCCGCCCGTCACCAACCCGCCGGCCCACGCCCCCCACGCCCATCGCCCGGCGCTGCCGTGACCGGAACAGTCCGCACACCCAGATTCATGTGCCTTGTGCTCGGTGGATTGTGCACGCTGATGCCGGTGCTGTCGCCAGAACACCAACACCGCAAATGCGGCGTCCCCCAAGTTTGCAGCGCGCTGCTCGTCGGCTCGTGGGCAAGCGTCGCTTCTGCCGGGGCGACGCCCTCCCTGCGGCTCCAGGGCGTCGCTGACATCCGCGCGCTGCGCGGCGGCATTGCCATGGAGAGCCCCGCGCCCGTCGGCCCCGTATTCAAGAGTACGAGGCGGTCGGAGACATGGGAGGAGCGAGCCTTTAAAGCGACGGCCGCGGGTGGCGGGTTGCGCCTGCACCGCGGTTGAGCGTTTGGTCGACGGAGCTGCCCATCAACCCGCGGCCATGGCGATGATACGCTGCGCAGCAGTGCCTGCCAAGGGCGGCGCCCGTCGCGCTGGTCTGCGGCTGCAGTGGCGCGGGCGCGGCGTGCATGGAGTCGGGCCGCGCGGCGGCTTCGCGCGGACGGCCTGGGTGCCAAGCAGCTGCCTGGGTGCTGTTACGCCGTTTTGTGCGCAACTTCCAGCCCAGGGTGGTCCCAAATGTGAACCTCTGTATTTTTTACAAAGGCATTGGCATCTGCCCAGCAGAAGCTTCCCTGTTTTCTGCGGCAATAAACAACAGCCCCACTCCCCTACACCAAGCTCCAGGGATGCGCAGTCGGGCTATTCCCCTGAACGTCTCTGCCTCGCATCTGCTGCAGGTGAAAATGCCGCGCGGCCCGCGCAACGAGTGCGGTGCATGGCGCCAGGACTAGAGACAGCCCGTATGGGGGTGGCTAGCTGTGCGTGCTGCAGTGGGCTGAGCCTTTGCTGGCAGGCAGGCACAGCTGGCCCTGGCCAACTGATTTTTTTGGGGAGGGGGGATCTCATGGAGATAGCTGCATGTACGGCTGCCCATCATCCATGCTGGCAGCGAATATTGACCGGTGGCGCGGGCACACTTGACCTGCCAGGGGACCAACACGCTCTGCCGCAGCTCGTGGCCTGTTTTTCGCACGCAGGAGCGGGCTGTGCTGTGCGGTACCGCGGCGATGCGTGCTTGGCTTGGCTTGGAGTGCGGGCAGAGCCCTCGATTGCCTCCCCCTCCCCCACGCCCCACCCCAAACATATCATCATTTGGGTATGCATGCATTTGAATAGCACGTGATTCCGGCAGGCAGGTTTCTCAAGAACCAGGGGCCTTACTCAGGCAACAAAGGACAACACTGGATCGCTGGTTGAGTCATAAGGACAGGAGTCACAGAAGAGACATGACAAATACTACTCACAAACACAGCAGGCTGCAAAAGCAAGGACAGAGCAGCGAATCGCGCGGATCACAGCCCAGCTCGACGCCTAAGCCGAGTTTTCAACTCGCCGTGTTGATTGAGACCCCCCAAGCCAGCCGCCGCCGGCTGCCC